CATTTTGCCAATGCCCCAATATGGGTAATCCCATGAGAACAAGCAACTGTCATTAAGCATCAGTCATAAAATGAAAAGTCACATGATGTGCCTAATTTATGGTGTCATTCCTTCAGTTCCTGCTGCAGTTATTAAGCAAATCATTACAGGCCGTTAAGTCTGATATGTGATCATAACTTCCTATTGGTTTTAGTGTTGACATCTCAGAAGCAAACTATGAAGATTGCAAATGATACTTACATGACTGTGGGATGCTACAACCTTTATACATTATGCATCAATTCCAGGAACCAATCTGGGTCGGTCACTGGGACCGGAGTCCGAAAGCTCAAAAGACAAAACCTCTTGTCCCGGTGACCTACCCACCTTGGTTCCTGCAACATTATCTGGGCACACGTATATTCGCCTTCATATGCACCAATTGCCAAGCACCCAAATTGTAATCATGTGATTGTAGGGTCACTACAACAGCTGCAACATTAAGGACTGGCGCATATGTCTCCTTTTCAGTGTTTTCAGTAAGCAAGGACTGTCTGTATTTTGGTCAAGGCTAGGAGGCCAAAGATCTAAGAATCACTTTTTCAATAAAACTGTTCCAGCATTTTTTCAGTGTGTTAAATGAATTTTAGCAAAATAATGACACTTCAAAGGGAAGGATATTGCATTAAATGGCAATTCCTTCTGCCAAATAAGCAGATATTTTAGTAATTTTCATTCTTACTTGGAGGAAAAGCCATTAACCTTATCAGCCATGAACAGTATCATGAATATCCCCGCATCCAACTTTTATAATTTTCTACAAATATTTGTCATACTTCAAATGACTCAAAATGCTTTACAGAGTAATAGGAACAAAACTATCAAATAATTACAAAAGCAGATTCATCAGTTGCACCAAAGGCCCTTGGGAACAATTAGTTCAAATGGCTTTGCAAAAGCCAAGCAAGTTACAGACTGCAACCATTTTATGTTTTTCTTTTATTGATCAATGTTTTTGTATTTAATTCCATACTAGAAGCTCCCCCCACAACTATGCATTTTCTTTACCCTTCCCATGTTTCCAATTTGTCCTGTCTCTGCCCTCTTCATCCTTGATCCTTCCAAAATAATATATTCAAACACTGGAAATTTATCATGCTGATCAAATATTAATCAATCACAGTATAGCCCAAACAGAAACAAGTTACATTTTTCAGTGGAAAATATTCTTAGCAGCAGCCTGACTTTCTCTGTTGCAGTTACTCTATCGTAATCCTAGTTAGCCATACAAATGAATGACAATAGGATGGAACAACTTTGACCTAAATGTTTTTACTGCATGATGCCTATGTCTCAGCAACAAAGGTAAGCATCGGGTAGTTTTCACATATGTTGGGTAAAAGAAGCCTAGAGTTGAAAAGGAAACTCTATCTCAGTTTGGCAAAAGCACTGAGGAATCTTTTCCATGATTAAAACTTGAGCAACGGACTCCCACCAGAAATGTGGATTTCTTCCGATATTTTCCCCATCCCCCACCACAATCCATTTTCTGATTAATACTCTTCAATCAGCAGACATGGCTTGAAGGCAAGTAGTCCTCAAGTAAGATTAATGCTGGTATGAATCTTCTTTTTTAAGACAAAAGTTAAAGGTTATTTTTTAAAGTTTAACTTTAAAAAAATAAACTCAGAGACAATTTCTCTGATAATAAATGTAAACAAATCAGTTAAAGCTTGAGAATTTGGTACAAACTGAAATTACCAGTTTGATAAACTCAGTCTAATGTTGGAAAGTCTGCCTCTTATTGTTGTTCAATACAATGAGATGCAAATATAATGGATAGATACAGTGCTCTGATATCATAACCCATTTCATTATATTGGTGTCAATGTTGGGCTGTTAGAATACTTGTGCCAGTAAAACAATCTAAATTTAATGCTAAACAATCTTTTTGCTTTTTTGTCTCCCTCCACAGTTTAGGAAGACAAAATAAAATGCATATGTTTTTCCTATCTGATACAATATTGATAATTTCCCAAATCCTGTAATGAGCATTTGGTTTTGGATTTTTACAGCAATTTATGCATTGCCTTAATAGTGAGATTGGCAGCATATAAATTCAATAAATAAATAATTTCCTAAATCTCTTACTTACCCAAATTATAAAAATGCTCTTCTACCACTCAGTGAAGTCAGAAGAGAAGAAAATCAATTCCTGATCAGTGGGGCAAATGCTGTCTCTCTTCCCATTTTTGGCTTAGCCATTTTTTATCATATCAAACCAACAAAATTTTTTTTCTCACACTCTTTGTCTCTCCCTCCTCAATCAGAAGTCTGAACCACTTTATTTTCAAAAATTAAGCTGAACCCCACAACTTGTTCAAGTGTTCCACCTAACATATCTGAGAATATGCACATTTTATTTCTTAATTGCAATTTTACTGTAGTAACAAAGCTAAAGTCTTGTCCTTTGCTATGGCAGATTTGAATTTGCATATTTTAGTTTTATTTTGATGCTCTTTCCATAGCTATACAATTCAATCCACTGCTTCCCCTACACTTATTTGAACTCTTCTATCTCTGCCACTGAGAACATTACATTCCCCCATAGTTAACCCCGTGTAACTATTGAGTACCAAGGAAGTTTGATTGTCTTGAATGCTATGACTGTTGGCTATTATTTATAATAATTACCATGTTTCTCCAACAATACGGCCTCCACCAATAGGAAGCCCCACCATGT